TTAGGGGTTGAAAAATTGTTCCTCTTCTTGGAAGCAGTGTCTCGGCACAGTTCATGCCTCCTGACAGCTCTGCAGCTTTTCTCTGTGATTTTTCTCCTGCCCTCTGCTCCTCTCCGTGCCCTGCTGAAGCACATTTGAGATGGTACCTCCAGCTAGGACCTACCTCCTGCTGATGTGAGTCAGCTCTACAGACTGCAGGGATTTCCTGTGTTGTTCCAGCTAAGCCTAGTTTTGATTCTGGCAGCAAGGTGGGGAAAAGTGGCTGCTCAGTTCTCGCCATGCCCTTTATCATCTTGCATGGCAACCTTCTTCAGCAGAGAGAGTTATTTTGTGGTTTCTTGTTGCCCCAGTTTATTTTCTGGTGGAGTTGAGAGTTGTGTGACTAGTAACATAACTTGTTCATTTGACAGGGTCACCTACCCTCCATATAAAATAAGTCTCTAGAGGAATTCAAAATGGGCTCCATGCCCTTCCAGCTGTGAGAATGAAACATTGGCATCTGCACAACTGACCTGTGTGACGAGTACCAGCTCTAACGGAGGTCACCAGAATAAACCAGCCCCCGTTCTTTGCTCTTATGCACAGTAACTGTAGGGACCATGCTGCCAGAAGAGCTGTGGAACAGGGTGAAGGTTGCTGTGTTGGCTACCAGGAGCTTGTAGCTGCTTCTGCAGGAGGCAGGTCTGGAAAGAAAGCTGCCTTGTCTCTGCTGTCATCTTATGCAGTCTGATGATGGAGCTTTTACAGCTTCCCTTAAGGAGATATTGTGGAAAACAAAGATTTTTTTTGCCTTTTTTAAAAGAAGCAGAATAGGAGATAGGGTGCCTGTCCGTTCAGTGCTGAAACCGGGAGCTCCTCTTCCCTGCAACATGTGACCTAGGGGGTGCCCGACGATCTCCAAAGGTGGGAAATTGAAAACTGCAGAGGAAAAAAGCTTCTTACTGCCATGTGATTGCCTGTGAGGCCCATTGCCACAGTGTGGTACTAAGGCTTAGCACTTGGCAGGCTCTGGGAAGGGTCTAGCTCAGGGGTGGGCATTTATTTCAGGCGGAGGGCCGCTTACTGAGTTTTGGCAAGCCATTGAGGGCCACATGACAGGCACCCAAGGGCAGATAAATATTAATTTTCTAGATTTTTTTAGGGGCCCTGTGGGACAGATAGAATGGCTTGGCAGGCCACATTTTGCCCACTCCTGGTCTAGCTAGTTATCTGGCTGAGGAGGGTGTTCAGAGTGTGGCTTTGCGTGTGCTGGGAGGGCCGCAGCCAGCTTCTGCCTGGTGCAACTGGAGCTCTCCTTCCCAGGGAGCCAGCAGGAGCCATGCCTGCTGCTGTGGTTTCCACACCTTCCTCTGAAGCGCCCAGTGCGGACGGGGCTGCACTCAGTGGTCCTGCCCAGGTCCTGCTGGCTGTACCCCATTCCTGCCCCTGCTGCACACTGGGTCCCTGATGCAGCTGCTGGGTGTGTTTTGGTTACCTGAGATGTGTGCACATGCCTTCAGCTCTCAACGGGCTCCAGCCCTTTAATGGCTCTTTGACCTCCACCCTTCAATCTCCCTGCCAGCAAGGCACCAGCACAACCCAGTGTCAGCAGAATTAGTGGTTGCCTTTTCCCTGAGCAAGGCCGTGCAATCCCAGATTACACTGACCGTTTCTCTTGATGTTACATTGCAGACTCGTGCCTGCTTTGCTGTCTGCTTTTCCTCCCCACAGCCTCCGGGCCCCTTAGCTCTCTCCCTGCCATGGTTTTTCAGGGTATTTCCTCCTGATTCAAATCTATGCTTTTGTTTCCTTTTGTCAGTAGCTTGTATGTGCTACCTTCCTGCCCTTAATTGCTGGTGCCCCACCCCTGCAGACTGACACACCTCAAGTTTCTTGCACCCCCGGCATGGCACCGGGTCTCCCTGAGCCATTCAACTCTTGGCCCTTGGGGACAGTCTGTATTAGAGGTGCAGGCTGCCTGGCCCACAAGATTGCTGGGAGGTGATTGTTTCATAGTTGGTTGGGTCGGAAGGGACCTGAGCAGTTCATCAAGTCCGACCCCCTGCCAT